AGCCCTCAGTTTGTTTCCTATGATTAAGAGTCTCTTAATCCTATGAGAGTCCTATGGTTTGTCTCCCTCTCTGATTTCATTTTAATTTTTCCTCTCTTCCCCTATGATCCTCTGTTTTGTTTCTTAAATTCCACATATGAGTGAGATCATATGATAATTGTCTTTCTCTGATTGACTTATTTCTTTTAGCATAATACCCTCTGGTTCCATCCACGTCATTGCAAATAGTAAGATTTCATTTTTTTGATGGCTGAGTAGTATTCCATTGTATATATATACCTATCACATACTAGGTCACAAATCAGGTCTCAACCGGTACCAAAAGATTGGGATCATTCCCTGCATATTTTCAGACCACAGTGCTTTGAAACTTGAACTGAATCACAAGAGGAAATTTGGACATAACTCAAATACATGGAGGCTAAAGAGCATCCTACTAAAGAATGAATGGGTCAACCAGGAAACTAAAGAAGAATTTAAAAAATTCATGGAAACAAATGAAAATGAAAACACAAATGTTCAAAACCTTTGGGATGCAGCAAAGGCGGTCCTAGCTTTAATATTTTTAAATGCTAAACTCTTAAATTTAAGCTTTTAAAAAAATTTAATATTTGATGATAATTGCTTCAGATGTCGTTTTCAAACTTTAAGGCAAAATGTGGAAATATCATTGATATTCTTGGTTACTGCTCCTCCAGAGGAAATCATCATCCCAAAGTTCATGTTGATCATGTCCATGTGTGTTTTTCTAGCTTAAAAGAAAGCGTAAATCTTCTACCTATTAATATAGTCTAAAAACCTGAACTACTTACAAGTACAGACACGACCTAAGCTACTTCTTAAGTTGTGCAAAAAGTAAATCCAGACATAAAGGGACCAGTGGTTAAGTTATTTCATCTTTCCACAGATTAACTTTTCTCCTGGGATAATGATCTTTGTCCTCTCCACCCAACTTGGGTGGGATGAAAACAAGCGTAATAATGAGAATGAGTGTTCTTTGGAAAAAGATAACATGCAAGGTTCTAGCACTTTTATTAATGAATTCCTTATGTGTCTTACTCCCTTCACAAAGTACTAGTTTATTTTATTTGTCCTCAGACAAAGTTGAGGGAGTGGCTCCATTCCTACTGAGTAAGAGCTTTCTTTCCTAGTTTGATTTCATAAACTCCCATTACGACCCTTCTCAGCCTTTGTCTTCCCAGACAAAGAAGTAGAATGGTTTTCTTCTTTCCCCCAAAGAAAAGCATTCTATTACAATTTTTGTCATTGTTCTTCTAAACCTCTTCTAAGTCTGTTATATCTTTCTGGTGCTACAGTGACCAAAACTGCCTGCGGTATGACAGGTGCACATAGTTCTGCGATTCTATCCTATTCAAGCATTTGCTAAGCATAATAACATGTAAGTAAACAAAACAAAACAAAACAAAGCAAAGCAAAACCCAACCTTATCAAAACCGCAATGAGCTCCCAGCTCATACCCATTAGGATGGGTATTATAAAAACAAAACGCCAGGAAAATAACACGTGTTGGCAAGGATGTGGAGAAATTGGAGCCCTTGTGCACTGTTGGGGGGAATGTAAAATGGTACAGTTGTTATGGAAAACAAGATGGAGGCCCCTCAAAAAATTAAAAATAGAGTTATCAAATGATCCAGCAAATCCATTTCTGGGCATTTATTCCAAAGCATCGAAAGCAGGGTCTTAAGGAAGTATTTAAATACCTATGGTCATAGTAGCATTACTTACATAGATTTACAATAATCAAAAAGTGGAAGCAACCCAAACTTATATTAACAGATGAATGGATAAACAAAATGTGGTATATACCTACAATGATTATTATTCAGCCTTCAAAAGGAAGGAAATTCTGATACATGCTACAGCATGGATGAGCCTTGGGGATGGGTATTAGGCTAAGTGAAACAAGTCAGTCACAAAAAGACAAATACTTTGTCTTTGCCGTAAGTGGTATAATTCCACTTATATGACGTACCTACAACAGTCAGATTCATAGAGGCAGTAGAATGATGGTTACCAGGGACTGGGGTTATGGAGAGTTATTGTTTAATGAATACAGAGTTTTAATTTTGTAAGATGAAGTGTTCTGGAAAACGGTTGTAAAACAATGTGAATGTACTTAAAACTACTGACTTGCACACTTAAAAATGGTTTAAAGATGGTTAAAATAAAGAAACAAAAAAAAATACCCAGCTAAAGTCTAGAGCAGTTCGGCTCAAGAAGGATTATGAGAACATTACAGAAGGCTAGGTAAAAGTCTCCATCAGACAGTGTCCACTACCAAGAGCACAATTGTTTGGGCAGAAGAAGGAGGTCTTTTCTGAAGTATTTACCCCATGGTTCACTGTGGTTCATCACTGTGTTCTGCCAATGAGATAATAAGACCCATCTTATGCTTCTATTCTCTCTCTTTCAGAACCTAGAACATTACTATGCATTTACGGTTTCCTTTTAGGAAGGCCTCAATAAATATGTGTTGGAGGACTGATGGAAAGCATCATGGTTAAATGTTAGCTGTGGAGACCTAGTCCTAACATGGGTCCTAGTTTCACCATTGACTAGTTCATCACCGCCTACGTGACTTCTCTAAGCCTCATTTTACTTCTGTAGAAATTAAAGAGAGTAAGAGCATCTACTTCATAGAGTTATTGGGAAGATTAAATGAATAAGTGCTTGGCATCGTGTCTGGCTAGAAAATCAAGGAAGGAGATAGGGGCAAATACATAGGAAACAACTGGGTTGATTGAACCTATGAGCTGTATCCATTATATCCACATGCTTCCCCTTAGTGATTGCTCAGGAAATATTTACCGCATAAATGAAGTAATTATAGGGTGAAACTAAAAGATGAAATTTTGAATTCTGTTAAAAAAATTTGTCAAATGACTCCTTAATTTATTTTAAAGACAAGGGCTATATATTGAAGAGGTAGATTACCACAGATACCTGTATTCACTTCTGAGAATTTTGTTAGCTTTTTCAGGCCCCCATAGGTCCACTTCAAATTTATTTAGCATATACTATATTCCCGTCATGGTCCCAGTATCAGGAATGCAACATAAATAAAACACTATCTTGCTCTCAGGCCAGTGGAAGAGACAAGTATGGAAGCACATGATGGATTAAGGGCCATGCTGGAGGCATGTGCAAAGTGGTAAAAAGGAAAGTTCTATCTACCCTGCTGGAGGGGAGAATGGTTTTGGTGAAGAAAGACCCCCCCATCCCCCCAGGACAAGGCATTTGAGCTGGGCCATGAAGAATAGGTAGGGCTTCTCCAGGTGGAGAAAGGGGGAGGGGAAAGACAGAGGAGACAAGATGTACGAAGGCATGAAATATAGGTGAGGGAGATGAAACCACCAGACACCTTCAAGGAAGCGTGAGTCATTTCTATGAAGCACTGAGCAAAAGTGGGGGAAAAGGGAATAACCTCATAGAAATAGGCAGGGGCCAGATGGCCCAGAGCTCATTTGCCTACGGAGGAGAGTTGCTTAATCCTCTTGCCAACGGGAAACCATAGAGTGTTTTAAGCAGAACAGACCTGATCAGACACTTGCATGATAACTCCAGTCATGGAGTGAAGAATAGGCAAGAGGCACCGAGACTATGGGGGACAGGTGGGTCAGTTGACTAATCAGTTAGAGAAAAACTAGAGACAAGAGAATGGTCTGGAGATCTTGGCTGTAATGAAAGGGACAGATACGAGAGATGTTAAGGAAGGTGAATTCAAATGTGTTCACCTCATTTTACTTGCTCCATAGATAAGCGCAAACTAAAGTACAAGCTACCTGCGTACTAAAGTCGTACCTCCAAGACCTCATCCGGGCATGTTGCCTGAAAATCAATACTCTTCTTTAAAAAGTAAAGGGAGAGACAGCAGACTCTGCAAATCAACTTCAACAATTATTACCTGCTGTTGGTTTTTAGTACATGTGCTTCCAGCTAAACCCAAGGGGTTAACTTTGCTGGGATTCCATGACTTGGTTTCAAACTGGAAATTAAAGTCCCGTTCCATGGAGACCAGGTTCCAGCATGGAGGGTTTTATCCTCAAGAACCCTAGTCTTCGGAGCTCTGTAAGGAAGCCCAGCGTGCTCGGCCAGCACTAAGTCTAAAAAGATACCAGGTTGAGTGCGATGGGTAAGCCCAGCTGAGCGATTCCTGAGAGCCAGGAATTTGATTCTAGGAATGAAAACGAGTGCTGGTGACAATTTGTAAGGACGAGCTTTTCTATCTGTCCTAAGGTCCCGTGGAAGATCATAACAGCCAAGACCATAAGAGCTGGGCCATTAAAGAAAGTGAGAAGATAAGAAATGGAATCAGATGGTACAGCAGCTCCGCTGAATTTGACAGGCTTTCCAAGTGTTCTGGAATGAACCCACGTTAGCTAATTCTTCCAAAAAGCATCATCTCCAAGGTGGTAGTAATGAATTATCACCAGAAGATACATAGAATACTGTAACTTTCAATCACCTAACAATTATCACAAGCTGTGAATATTTCATTCACTTTAATAATAATAACTGTTATAAGAGAATAATAGTATCTATGTTCATATACACTGCATAGAATTACAGCTATAAGCTCATACTCTTGGAAACAATTTTGCCTAAATATTTAAAACATTTCTTGATCAAGAGCGTCCAAGGTGCACAATCGAATCCTTGACTTCTATAGTATTCATGCTTGCTCTTTTTCCTCTCTCCTGCTATTATTCTAGGACCCTCCCCAGACTGTTTCAAACACCTAAGACCAGAAAAGTCATGTTGAAATGAAAACCGAATGCCTTATAATCAATACAAGTTCATTTTATAAACTCAGGTTGCTGGTTAAGATCCTCCAGTTAAGGACCAACCCCCCAAATGTTCACTCAGTGTTACTGATCGTGCGGAAGGTCAGCAAATCATTTGAGCAAAAGAGACTAAGAAGTGAAAAACCCAGTGTCTCACCCAGCTCCACATCTTGATCATCAGTGAGCACAAGAATAATGTTGGGTCGGATGTTTTTTCGCTCCTGCTGAATCCGTCCTCTGAACCTCTGGGATCTGACAGTCGAACAGAGGCTCCCCAGCAGCTCCGTGCCCAGGACAGCCAGAACCAGAGCACAGCAAGAATACTTCATTGTGTTTGGTCCAATGTCGCGAGACCGACAGACTGTCTCAGCCTCCTGGTTTCTGCAGGTCTGGGCAGTCGGAGAAAAAGAGAGAGGGAGAGATGAAAATGACATCCAAACCCCAAACACAGTTGCAGAAAAAGGGCTACAACAAAGTGAGATCTGGCACGTGAACTGTTAGAGAGAGGGCTGCCTGCGAGTCAGACGTGGCCAAACCCTCCCAGGCGCTCGGGAGGTTTTTAAGCACCTGATTATTTTGCAAATTCACTTTTGCCCTTTCTTCTCATTCCAACTTTTCCTATTTCAAAATTCATTGCCAAAACAGAATTTCCAACACAGAGCTCAGATGTAAAAGCCTTCTGACAAGAGCTAATACCTTGAATTAGGTATCCTGGTTGAAGAATCAATTTCTGTACTCAGAGGTATTCAGAACATCGGCAGATGGGGTCCTAGAGGGGGAGAAGAAATACAAAGGAAACGTCAGTCAGGGTTTTGATACAGATTTTGGTCTGAAGTAGTCTCTCAAAACAGCATACACACACACACACACACACACACACACACACACACACAATCCGTATTCCAAAAGGGAGAAACAGGAGAAAACAATATTCAGAGCTGCTAACAAATGACTCAGAAAATATCTTCATTTCATAATCAGCTCCTTAAAGTGGTGACACGGTACCATCCTTGCTCACACTCTGCCAGTACTTGAAACATCCCCCAAAAAACTCATGCTTGACCAGGAGGCGCCCGTAGCACCTGCGAAACCACAGTGGGTTTGGAGAGTACTTGCATCTGGGAAGCAGCTGGCGCGAGGGGGCGCGCTGGGGGAGCATTGATTCACCTGCGTAGATACTGAGTACTTATCAAGCAGAATAAAATGCAACGCTGTCATTTGTCATCTGCATTATGTCACTCACTACCCTGCAGAGTTCTTTCTGCTGACAAAGACTTCATAGTAAGCGACTGGGAGGGCAACCTTTCCCAGCCCCCGAAAAGCTCCTAACTGTCCTCCATCAATCACCAGGGGAAGGGGTGCTTCCTCCGGGCGAGGCTTGTCCCTCTGTCCCGCCCGTGTCCTCAGCACGCCAGCGCCTAAGGGGACAGAGCCCTCCTTCAACTGTCAGCACCAGCCTCACTCTCGCCAAGACCGGGCACGGTGCCGCCAGCGAGAGGTTTTGCCGCAGCACATCTAAACCTGCAAAGCGAAATGATTGATTGGCTCTGAAGCTGAAGGGTAGAGGCTCCCTTTCTACATTAAAAAATAAATAAATAAATCAGATCTGGAGGGGAGTGCTGCAAAATCTTTGCAAATGTGCCCAAGAGGAGACTTCTGAAAGGGTTGGAAGAATGCCCCTTTTACTTTAGAGCACTAACCTGCTGAAAGGGTTTCTCTTGGACTTCTGATCGCAAAGGGCTCATTAAAAAAAAAATCTTTCCCTTGGATGTCATGAGGGAATGTCTGTATGGGAATTTAGGCCGCGCTAAAATTAGATAGCGGCCCACTTCGTCAGGCACTCTGTCCCCACACACCTGAGGGTCTGTATTTTGAATTGCAACAATAAACTGGCATCAGATAAATAAGCAGAATGAATCAAGTGGGAGAACTGCAAGTCAGAAGAAAAGGGACTCCATCACTCATTTCCATGCCTTAAATTCTGGAGGGTGACATGGGGCAGTGGGAGAAGAAAGAAGAAAGACTGTGGACTGTTTACTCCAGCCGCATACATTATTTTGTTTTACACAAACACACACACCCCTATTATTTTAAACTTTATGAGCTGTTTTGTAAACATTTCTAATGCTTTTCACTCTGCAGCCTGTAATTACTTTGAGAGAGAGAGAGAGAGAGAAAGAGAGGGAGGGAGGGAGGGAGAGGAAGGAAGACGCACTCTGTAAGAAATAGATTTTAAACAAAAATCTAGTGCCGTAGGAAGGCAGAGCATCAAACCAACCACCTCCGATGGATCCTGTGGTTCTGCGAAGGTCAATATGCAAGGTTTGGGGGGCGGGTTGTTTTTTGGGGTTTTTTGGTAATAACCCAGGGTTATTTCGGTGATTGCTGTGCATGCTGAACACTGAAAGCCAGCAATTGTTCTGCGCTGACTGTTTGGTTTCTGTGCATTTGTTTCAAATCGTGAGAAAACTGATACGAGCAAGAAAGATAGGAGAAGGAAAGAAAGAGGTCAAACAATGGCTGTCTCCCGCAGAGCGGCATCAGGCTCAACAGTGACACGCAGACATTTCTCAGAAGCTTGGTGCTTTAAGTAGCAAGAGTTTGCTCACCTCTCAAAGCCTGCAAGGGTGTGTGAAGAGGGAGTGAGCAGGAGTCCCTTGCGTCGGCTCTAGTCATGAGCCAGCTTCTCTGCTGACAGTAGCGACCCGGAAAGTTCAATCTCCCGGTGTCGTGCAAACAGTAGCCCCGGCAGTTTAAATAATCAGCCCCACACGAAACTGAAAAAAGTCTTCACAATTAAGATGCTGATAACATTCCCTGGAACCCAATCAACATTACTGGTTATTCTTTTCTTTATCTTATTTACTTCGTCTCTTCCTTTAGGAAAAAGAAAATTAGCCCTAATGGTACCTTGAGTAAACCACATTGAACTACATTGAAAAGCATTTCCTAATGAAGAAAAGGGAGAGCCAAGTAGATGCATTTTTCTTTTTTCCTCTAACGTGACCTTCCTTAGAGAGTTAAAGGTGCAGAAAAAGCCTACATTTTTTTTTTTTTTTCCCTGCCACAGCTTATTATCGATTCAGGGAGTGCATATGTAAACGCGGAGAAATGGGATGGTGTAGAAAACCGGACTTTCAGACAGGTCTGACCAGCAGAAGCGCGCTATCTTTACCCCATCTCCCTTCACTAAGACACAAAACACACCACTCTGAAAAACCTGTACCCAGACAATTCCTTATTCAAAAATGACCTTTTAAAACCTGTCATCCTCTCACTGCCTGGTTTCCAGCTCCAGAAGGAAAAGAAGTAAGGAAGAAGATGAAAAAAAAAAATTGACAGACAAATACAGAACTTGACAAAGGAGACAAGGATGCAATGTTTGAATTGGATACTTTGTGGCGGACGACAAGTGTCCTTAGAGACTAACAATTTGTCTTGAGAAACAGCAGAAAATGGGAGAAATGGTAAAAGGGGGTTTTTCTCACACACGGAAAGTGAGCTCGAGGAACGGGGTTGTATTCATGAATCAGGACCAGAATACAAGTTGCCTTTTCTTCAAGTCTTCAAATGAAAACACTAATTGTAGCTATGGCCAGTTGATGTGGAAAGTTTTTAGGGCTTTGTTTAGGGCAGTCAAGCCAAACTATAAAAAAGTTTTTAGGGCTTTGTTTAGGGCAGTCAAGCCAAACAATAAATGTGACATTAAAAGTTTCAAGTCACATATAAAAGGAAAAAAACAGACCAGGGAGACTTCAAGCCAACTGGATGGAAAAGTCTAGCTCACATTTGCTCAATGAGCAACACCCCATATGAAATCAAGATGCTTTGTCCACTGCAGTGGTTCTCAAGGTGTAACCCAGGACTTTGGGGAGTCCATGAGGTCAGCACTGCTTTGATAAGAATACCGACACACTCGCTTTTTTCACTTTGTTGACATTTGCACTGGTGGGTAAAATCACTTTTGTCCGAATAAAAGGAGCATCACATACAGTTCAAAAAAAAAAAAAAGCCAGTTTCATTCAAGATGAAACAGTAAGATGACTAATTGCATTAAATCCTGACTCTTGAACACACATCTTTTCTTTCTAATTTTGTTATATGAGAGAGGAGGTACATGTAGAGCTCTTTGTTGCCCACGGAGGTCGGATGATAGTCGAGGAACAGCACTTGTGTGACTGAGTCGCAAGCTCCACTAGACACTGCTTTTGGCTCATGGGACATTAGTTTTACTTGAACGAATTATTTGGACTTGGGTATTTGGCAGACATTTCTTAAGGGATAAATGAAATGAGACTGTCATTTCAAGGAAAGCAGCTGACAATATTTGTTGTATTTGTTGCCAATGATAGAAATCTAGCTTCCAAGCTAAACTCAGAATTTTGGAAAACCTGTATCCGCCACCACGAACTTGACAGCTTCCCAATATGTAAAACCTTTCAATGACATTGATGTTGATATTAACAAATGTTATTCTTTATACTGAAAAATGAAATGTGTCCACATTTAGCATATTTGCATAATTCAGTGAACCAATATTTCTCAAATGACCAAATAAAATGCTACAGAATCATACATCAGCAAAAAAAATTTCAAAGTGCAAGATGACCATTGGATTTTAACAGAGTATGAAAGCTCATTGATGGGGTTTCAGATTACTTACAACAACTAATCTTTACGAAGTCACCACTTGTCAAGTTTTGGCATAGTATCAAAGGAAATCTACAAGTGTTTGAAAAAACCATCAAAATACTTTTCCTTTTCCAACTACTTATCCATATGAGGCTGAATTTGATTACTTTATTTCAACCAAACAATATACTTCAACAGATTAAATACAGAAATAGAAGAATCCAGCTCTCTTCTATTCAGATAAATATGTGTAAAAATGTAAAATGATGGCGGGGCACCTGGGTGGCTTTAGTTGGTTAAGCATGTACCTTCAGCTCAGGTCATGATCCCGGGGTCCTGGGATGGAGCCCCGCATCGGGCACCTTGATCAGCTGAGAGCTTGCTTCTCCCTCTCCCTCTGTCCCTCCACCTCCTCCCCCCACTTGTGTGCTCTCTCTCTTTCTCTCTGTCAAATAAATAAATGAAATATTTTTTTTTAGATTTTATTATTATTTATTTATTTGACAGAGAGAGACACATCGAGACGGAACACAAGCAGGGGAAGTGGGAGAGGGAGAAGCAGGCTTCCCGCCGAGCAGGGAGCACGACGCAGAGCTCGATTCCAGGACCCCGGGATCATGACCTGAACCAAAGCAGATGCTTAACAACTGAGCCACACAGGGGCCCCTAAAATCTTTTTAAAAAATGTAAAACAATGCCACTTTAGTTACCAATACTTTTTTGGTTTGGAAAATATAGTTATTTTTCACAAAATATATCATTTAACATGTAATAGATTGTTATTTTCAAAAGAATTTAAAAATATTTAAAGAATCCCTCAGTTGTAATTTCTTTCTTTTTTTTTTTTTAAGATTTTATTTATTTGAGAGAGAGTACTGGAGGGGAGAAGGGCAGAAGGACAAGCAGATGCCTCGCTGAGCAGGGAGCCCCAAGCGGGGCTCAATACCAGGACCCCAAGACCATGACCTGAGCTGAAGTCAAAAGCTTGACCTATTGAGCCACCCAGGCGCCCTCCCCCCGTTGTCATTTCTAATTATCAGTAGCTATAATCTACATAAACAAAAGCTCTTGAGAGTCTTCAGAAATTTTAATAATATAAAAGGATCCTGAGCCCCAGAGGTTTGGGAATTGCTGGCC